AGGAGGATTCTGTACTTTTGGTACTTGTTTCCTCATTCCCTACCTACCTGCCTTTCTGGTGGGAGCGTAGTGGTGCTGGCCAGCAGCAAGGTAGGTGTGAGAAATGTGCCGTGTGGACCTAAGGCAGCGTTCAGGTGCGTACGCGTCTCTGTGCGCGCTCTTCCACTCCTGTGTCTGGGCATAGTGGTGTCTGCGTGGTGGCTTTCAGTAGCAAGTGTTTCAGCCGTATGTTGGCAACTTGCTGTTCTCCCAAGTCCTGAGCACAGAGGCAGGAAGGCTCCCAGGGCACGCTTCCATAGCCTGGGGATGTCTCTCTCCCAGTTCTGTTCTGCGCATGCACATCTTTAATGACAGAAGGCCATTTCCTGACGGCACGCAGTAACTCCTAGTCCCAGAGACCTTTTAGCAGTAGTGACCGGCCTGAACGTTTTTGGGTTTTTTTAATTTCATTAAGAAAATTCGTATTTTTATTTTGAACCTTCAGCTCAAGCTTCTGTTTATTTTGCCAGCTCTGTTCAGACATGTACTGCTTCAATTCAGGCAGGCTGTTCTAGAGATGAAAAGGCTCCTAATTTTCCTTCTGTAGAAAACAGAAATCCCCTGAGTATAGGCTTTTACGTCTTTAGATACTGACTCCAAGTTATCACAGTGTCCTCAGAAGAACTGGGGCCAAGTGAGTGGATTTGCTTGTTATTTATTGTATTATATTTTTTTCATTAACAGCCTGAACTTCAAGGGAAATTATTGCCAGCTTTTCTAACTGCCTTCAGATGTATTTCTCTCCATAGATTTTTTGGGTAGTCATGTAAAACAGCATACGTACACAAAGCGTGTTTCCTAGACTCAGGCTTTTTTTGTGTATTCCAAATTTGCTTATTTTTCAAGGATTTCTGTCTACCTGACACACCAGGGTACTTCTTACCCCTTTGATTAAGTGTTTCTGGCCATAAAAATGATCTTTTTTTTTGGTGATAATATTGCCTCCTTCCTTTCAGGTGCACCATTAGAATGATCCTAGTGGAAAGATCTAGGTTGGAAAGGATCTCTTGAAGTCTCTCCCTCTCAAGCCCCCACTCAGAGTAGGGCCTGAATTAATTAGTCCTTTTGAACTCCAATGTACCTTGTAGTAAAGAAGTGAGCATTTCTTGGTTTCTGTATTGGTGAAGGTTTTTTTATCTTGCTGGCTTTTTATACTGTAAATCATGTATTTCTCTGCTGCAATAGCAGATTTTATTCAGACGAGTTAGTTTGGTCACATGGTTGATGCTGGCTCTGGCTTATTTTCAGCTGTTAAAGCGCGCAAAAGAAAACTAAAAATATTTATCCATATATCTAGGAATTTGTGTTCCAGTGAGAGTATCTTTACAAATGGTTTGCGAAAGAAACAACACTAGTGACCGTTCTGTCTTCCTTCGCTGTCTATCAGTGAGCTAGCTTGCCTCTTTTAGAAGACCACATTGGGGTAATCCCTGTTTTTTCTTGTGCTAAACTTGTGAAATGCCTGGGGCGTCAGGGCTTTCCTCATCTGTGCAGAATGCCAAAATGAAGGTAGGGAGCTTTCAGAGCTTGTCGCAATAGCAAGGCTGTGATAGCATTGCCAAAGATGGTAGAAAGAGGCTTGACCTTCTACCCACTGAGCCGACCCTGGCAATGAGGGGTCAGTTAGGAATGTTAAGGTACGGACTAGATTAGGAATCAAAGGCTAGATGCTTTTAAACTGCTTGCTCATTCCCAGCATCATTGCATTTACATTTTTAAGGTGGCCAATATTCCTCCAAACGTGTTTTAGCTTGGGTTTGAGAACCCTCGAGACACTTGCTTAATGTACAAGAAATTCAGAGCCCAAAGCCCCCAGGTCAGGGCGTTGGCACATGACCCGTCTCATCCCATCAGCTTCCCCAGGAACCTCACGCGGGTTTTCATGTCTCCCCTGCAGCCACCGTCCCTCGTTCTAGGTGCAGCAGCCTTAAGCTGATGTTCCGCACTGTGTGCTGGACCCATGACAGTTCTTGGAGAATCTCCTTCAGTACGGCTCATGTTTCTTATGAAATACTGGCCCCCGAACTTGATCAAGGCTGGAGTGGTTTGAACAGAGTGGAAAATTGATCTGTGTGTCACACAAGCAACGTTTTCTTTTTCTATGTTCCAGAATTGCATTTGCTTTCTTTCTCACAACAGCGTGCCTTGCTTAAGCCCTGTTTGGTTTTTAATCTCTGATAACCCCATTTTTCTCCTGCCCAGGCAGTTATTTTTCAACCTATTTTTGAACAGTAGATTATCCTAGTTTTCTACCCTGCTTCTTTCTACTCTGTACTCGTCTGTGCTGAATTACATCCTATTTCAAAGCATTTTTCTACGTTATCAAGATCATTTTGAAATGTGGTATGTAAGGGCATAGGGTTTTGGAAGACACATCTGCCCCTAGTTCTTAATGCTGCTGTAAACTCTTGTGCTCTGATCTCCTCAAATCCCTCCTCCATTCCCCAGTAACAACTGTGGAGAAATTTCTGCTGTGGATACCTGTGAGAGAATTATGAAAATGCATAGAAGGGTCAGAAATTGAATAGTTCCTATGTTGACACGGTGGCCTCTAGCTGAGATAAGGAATCACAATAATTTCAAAGCCTCTTTTCATTCTGCTGTGGAAAGGTTCGTGGGATGAAAGATGCATTCAAATAAGCAATCCAGGACAGGCTAGTCTCTGTGTGGGTCTTGGGGTAGGAAGGGGAGCCTTTTTATCCAGGGCAGGTATTTACAGTCAGGAAAAAAACCCAACCCAGTCCTCTTATATTCCAGAGGGTCACAAGTAAAAATATCTTCTGGTCCCCTAACTGCCTACTGAAATGAATGTTTTCTTAGGAATACTTTTGAAGGGCAGCAAACATTGGAGTTGCCTCAACAAAATAGTGAGGGGGAACCTGGGCGGTATTTCTAGCACCGGCATTGAACGTGATCCACTTTCCCAGAGATTTGTGTTTTGTGTTTCACAGAGTGCCCCTTGTGCCGACACAGCGACGAGGAACGCGGGTCTTTGCCTCTGGTGTGTTTGTTTTGTGTCTTGCTTTCAGTACATGGAAATTTTCAGAGCAGACTCCACAAAACACTTAGAATTGTGCAGCTGGGTGAAAGTGGAGACTCTGCAGGACTCTCAAGTGTTTAATGGAATCTTAATCTCGCCTCTCGTCTAAGTAGTCTTAAACAGCACGGAACCAGTCACAACTCGGTGCTGCGTAAAGCATTGCTGGCTTTGTACAGTTTCTCCATTCGTGAACCCTAATCAGGATTAAAATGTTTGGTTGCATTTCCATCGGTGGTAAGTCAGCGCAAATAAAGGCAGGAGAGGGTTCCAGGTGTCCGGCCACCCCAGCTGCTGGCAGAAAGGCGGAGCACTGAAGCTATGTGTGCGCCTGATGTTCGGTGTTTTTTTGTAGGTCGCTCAGATCGTCAAGCACGAGATGGAAAACGCCGTCAAACTCTCGGTGAAACTGAACGTTAAAGTGAAAATTGGACCTAGCTGGGGAGACCTGCAGGACCTGGAGCTCTGATGTGAAACGCAGCTTTCCTGCGTGTGGTGAGGCGGGAAGGCACCACGGGCAGGGCAAGGGCCTGCGAGAGACCTGCGGGTGGCGTGATCCTCCTGTCCTGTCTTTCTACAGACGCCGTTGCAAGCTGCCCTCTGAAATGCTTGGTGGGAGCTGGTCTGAATTCACCAAGCCAAACCCTTCAAAGCCTGGCCAGCGCAGCGAAGCATGTTTACAGAACTGCGAAATGATTCATTTCGAAAAGCACAGTATTTAAATGAATTCTGTTAAAATAAGCTTGATCTTGTAATTTAAAAAAAATCCCAAAGCCTAATGAATTTGTTACATATTAAATGAGCTGGATTATTGTATTAAAAAGGCATGAAGATAATTTGGTGGTTCTTGTGTGTAATTGTGTCTAGGACAAAAAAAAAGAAAAGTCATTTTGTTTGCACTTTGTGTTGAATTTTGCAGGCCTCTGCTAGGATCGCTTTGTACTGAATTCTGCTGCTGATATTCAGGTGCCAAAATGGCTTTACAGCTGGCTGGATTTCTCCATCCCTGTGATCAGGCAGAAAGTTTTTCTGGGAGTTTTGGCTTGTCAAGCTGAGCTGGTCCTGAGGGTGACTTGGGTCAGCTGCCAGGATCAGACGCTTCAAAACAGGAGGCAAGGAAGGAGCTCGCAGGGAATTAATCCACCTCTGGTGTTGCTCTCCTCACTGGTACCTTCTGGTCTGTCTAAACCTCACATCACATGGTTTCGTTTCCCTTTCAGATGGTTGCAGTGGTTATACAAGTTCAGCTGGTTTTGTTAACTTCATACAATGACTGGCCTTGGATTCTGTTATTTTCGTCATGTAGCCCTTGTATGATACAAGAAAGGGAGGACAGGTGCCTCCCGTCATCTTTATGCATCTAATTATTTTATCATGTCTTTCTTCTGCAGTTCCTCCCTAATGTAAGCAATCTCTGTCTTTCCATTCTTGCCTCCTGTGAGAAATTCTCAAGCCCCTAATTATTCTTTCATTTTCTGACCTTCTGCCAGCTCCTTTTTAAGAAGCGTGCTTTTGAAGTTGCCTTTATAGCCCGATCTGAGAGGATGCATGCTTGGCTTTCAACAGCCTGGTAGCGTGCTTGAGCTTGTTAACTTCAAATGCGGCGCTGTTGGCGCGGCTGTTATCCTGACATCAGAAGTACCCGGCACTGAGGTTTTGAGAGCATGGTGAGTCTTCAAAGAGTTAACAGGGCCTGCGTACAAAAGGCCGGGTCCTGGACTCTGATCCACCACCTGCCTGTTGTGCAGCAACACGGGCACGTGGTATCGAGTCAAAGCCCCGGGTGAGGATGCCTTGACTGACTTCCTCAGCACCCACTTGGCCTTCTTTCCCGCTTTGTGTGTCGCTTTATGTTGAGATTTTTTTTTTTGTTTCCTTCCTGCCTGCTTTGTGCCACATCTGTCACCTGAAGGCTGAGCTCTAGATCCACAGCATTCAGGTGATAAACAGTTGTTTCTTTTCTTAGGTTATTAAATCTTTTGTTATTAACAGATCCGCGCCTCGGCACCCTGCTGTTCTGGCCATTTGTGTGCTCTGCCTGTGAAGGTGCGGGGTTGGACTTGTGATCAGTTCCCATGGCCTAATGATTTCCTGTTCCCGGGTGTCATGCGGTGACACACCTGTGCTGTATTTCAGGCCTCACCAGAGCTGCTGTAATTTGAGTTGCTTGTGCTTTGGCACTGTACGACATTCCCCCCTGCGTACTGCCTTCAGAGTTTCAGAAGGCTGGATCTCACGCCCGTTTCCCGACAAGCTCTCTAGACAGGGGTGATGCTGATCAATAAGGGGATTGACACAGAACTAAGCGTATTTTGCTAAACAAGCTCAGCGATGTCATTTTAATTAAGCAGTAATTTGAAGCAAATGAGAAGATAAAAGGTGGCCACTGCTCTGTGAGCGAGGCAGCTGTGGTGTTTGAGTCATGATGTTAGAACTGGCTCTGAGCTGCTGCCTGATTGCTGCTATTTACATTCCTTAATTCTGATTAGACTTTAACTATCAGTGAGGCTAAGCAGGGGGAGCAGAAGAGGGCTTAGGTCAGGTAAGCGGAGGCGCTGCTTAGAACTGTGCAGAAGAGGATACCTGTTATTTTCTGAAGTTGGTAGGAGGAGGTTGGCTGCTTGCATTACTTATTTTTTGCTTGTGGGCCCCTCTTCCCCCACCTTTGGTGGGCTGAGGCCTGTATTTAGTTGGGAACTGGGCCGTTTTTGTGGTTCAGGACCCAATAACCAGAGTGCGGGTTACCCCCTGTCTCCTTGTAGACAAGGCAGGATGCGTCTGATTGTGCTCACGCCCTGTTCCTCAGCTCATTTTGTGTGTTGCTCTCTTTGCAGTCTCCACTCTTGCCTCCTATTTGTTGGTGCTGTGGATCAACTCAATCCTGTCGTTGGTGAGTGCCCTTAAATGAGCTCTCTTCTGAGATTTCAGCTTGGAGGTGACTGCTTTCCACCTGAAGTGGAAGTGAGGTGAAGGGCGCTCTCAGGCAGCTGGGAAGCCCAGGTAACAAGGGTGATGTTCCTGGAGGCTGGTATGGCGACTGCGAGCGCCATGTGAGCTCCCTGCAGAAAAGCACGGGAACATTAGCTGGGGGTCCAGGTTTTGTCCCCAGGTGAGCTGCTGGAGGAAGGGCGGTGGCCATCCCCACCCTAGCAATGACCGTGGCTGCGTTTTCCGTACTCTGAGTGAGTGAGTGTTGTAAAATCCAGCCAAAGGCTTTAGGTAAACCGTGCACCTTTGAAATACTGTAAAGACTCTAGGAGTAAAGGGGAAAAAAAAAAAAAAAATCATCTACACAAACTAATATCAATTCTTTCCTTTATTTTCTTTCCTTCTTTTTTTTTTGGTTGTTACTGGGGACTCGAAACAGCCTCAGTTAAAGATGCCTTAATTTTCCTTTTGTGACACTGATTTAGGAGACCTGTGGAAACAGGACATGGTTAGCGCAGGAGTGTGTGGTTCACTCCAGATTAGCCTTAGTTCTGAGACACAGGTAATGACTCGTTAACAAACCCTACATGTGTTCTTGTCCACATTTCCTTGACACTGAATCTGAATATTTGTTGCTATTTAAAAAAGTACAATGTTTGATTTTTTGATTTAATCACAAAACAAAGCACATGAATGGAAACACTCATTTACGTGACTATTGCTTATACACCTAAGATGACAAGTTGACTACAAATGGCCACACGTAGTTCCTTAATGAGAGAGAGTGTGTTCTTACTAAGACCATACCAAGGCAAAAAAACCCATTCAAAACTGAAATATCCTGTGCTTGAATTCACCTTCAGGTTATGGAAAGGGATGTATGGGGGGGCTGAGTATTTAATGGGCATAATGAACTGAAATCTGGCTTTTTGCCTGTGTTACCATATGTAGTTTATAAATGGAGGAGTCCTGAGGTTGAACACAGCTCTTATATAAGCTGCAGAGTTTTCTTCACTTCTTAAATTGTATACTGAAAAAAATGTTTTTGTGTGCACACTTTCATTACAATGCATGCGTTGTGGTGTGAAAGGGCTTCTGTAAAAGGACTGTATAAACTGCTTTAGAGAATTGCTATATGGGATAATTTTATACAGTATGTGTAGCAAATTGAGTATTTCTGTTAAATATTTGTGTAAGAAACTATATTCTGGTAATATAGGGTATATCTAACTGATGTTCATAGTTAAACTGTAAAAAAAAAATTTAGAAAATAAGTCATTATACAAAACAAAATCTTGATTCTCAAATTTTCCTTTATCTTGTCTTTTCATTCAAGATTTGAAGCTGAAGTTAAAACTCTAGGAATGGATTTTTTTTTTTTTTTTTTTTTTAATAAAAGAGCTTTTACTTCATTGAAGACTTCCCAACTCTGAAAACATAGAAATAATCCGATTTCATGTATTTTCTCAGTATACTCCATCTACAGCTCTATGTGTAAGGTTAAGCACACCTGGTCAAACCCTGAGCAGGGTGTGTGCTGTTGGAAGTTGTGTGTGTCTGGTTTTGGATGTGGTTGAGATAGAGAGTTCCTGTAAAGGAGAATGTGAGGGAACGGGGCATCCAAATGAACAAAAAGCATTTTAAATTGAACTATTAATTCCAGCTGATCTGGTCTGTTGTAATTGAGGATGGCGATGTTGAAGATACGGCTAAGTTTAGGGTTTTGCTTGAGGTGGTGCTGTCTCAGTGGGAAAGGTGAAAGCACGTGATTTCAACATCCAGCAACAGCTACTGTCCTCAGTTTCCTTACAGCAAGTCAAGTCAGACGCTGTGCTCGTTGCTCGGAACGCTGCAGCTTTATGCCTTTCACGAACAGCCTTCCGCAGCATTCGGGTCAGGCCTTTCAAAAATCCCACACTCCCTCTCATTTCACAATAAATCAACCAGGCAAGAGTTTTTCCTCCCTCATTGAAGTTTTAAAGTGAAGTTTTTCTCCCACATACATGGTAAATCTTGATAGAAAGCATTTAACAGTGTGCACTAACAAACTTATACAACATATACATTACATATATATATTTATATATATAGAATGTTCTATATACAAACATATACAACTTTTTAGATCTCTACAGACTACAAGAAAATTGATAATTATAGTCACAAGTGGTGAACTTAACAGAAATAGTAATTTGTAACTGTCTGGAAATATGTAAAATATGTAAGAGTGGAAAGCAAGATACAGCTGTGACCTGATGGGGAGTACTAGAGAAAAGTTGCTTAAAAGTTAAGCATTAAAAACTGTAAGTTTGAGGGCTGCTAGGTTCTTATCTCTCTGTTGCATAAAAATGGAAATCTACTGGCAGGTTTTTCCCCTGGTGTTAAGCTAGAGACTGTTGGCAGCCAGAGTCAGTCAGGCATTGTGTAAAAGACTTGAAGCTGCTTTTCTCTCTGGGTATGCTGTAGTGATTAGCAATTAAAAGTGGCTCTTAAATTTTTACATGTGATTCTCAAATGAGCGAGCAGGCTCTAGCTCCAGCC